GCTCAGCAGAGGCCGGTCAGACTGTGTGACTTTGGGTCTTAAATGCACAGAGGGCTCCCTCAAAGAGGCACTGGGGGCCTTTGACATAAAGAAGGTCAACAACACTCAGATTCACTTAAAAACTCCAGGTCACATCTTGTTCTCTGTCTTTGAGTTTCACCGCTTTGCTTTTTAACTCTCCTGAAGAAATACGAATGTCCGTTAACATGAAGTGCTTCTTTAATACTTATTTGTTTACATTTCTGTATCACTTTTGATATTATGAGAATTAAGAGCGTGCATTATTCACGTGTCACTAGCTTGTTTTAGTTTTTAAATCATAAGTGAGGCCTTGTACTTGTAGGATCAGAAATGTACATATAGAAGTGGACACATGCATGTCAGTTCTATCATGTAGTTAATATATTTCTATCAGCGCACATCAAAGAAGAGAGAAATGATAAAAGGCATCCATCAATCTGGTGGAGCAGTGCAAACATAATGAGAGATGTTTGAGAGGGTGCAGTATGTTTGACGGAGGAGTTACTGCCCTGGGGATTAAACCTTTTCGGAAAATTCCTGCAGGTCGATAGGAAAATCTGAAGGAAAGAAAAGGTCAAGTGGTGCTGACAGAAAGCATATGTACTCACTGCTACTCTCTGACATAGAGTCCAAATGGAAATGTTAAAAAAAGGATAGAAAATATAACTTTTTACTGAGCAATGTCAGTTGAGAATGATTTGGGATACAAGTATTTGACACATGGCAGTAGATCAAAAAGCTAAAGGGTCCAATATCACCAAAACACATTTCAAAGCAATCCATCTCAAACGATTTCATTTAAATTCAAAATGTAAACGTCATGACCGTGCCAGAGGAAAGGTCAAGAGGTCATCATAAGTTATTAGGGTAGCTTTTGATATGTTATGCAAATTAAATGAATAGATGGTGAGATATTTCACCAGATAAGACCCGCTGGTGGTGCCACAGAAAACCATTAAGTGGGGTTCAACCTCTTCGCGTATCCGTCGCCGATGTTATGGGAGTTTATTCCAAATTTATAGAAAATTAAATGAATAGATGGTTTGATATTTCACCATAAGACCCACTCTGCTGGTGGTGCCACAGAAAATCATTTAGTGGGGTTCAACCTCTTTGCGTATCCGTCGCCAATGCCATGGGAGTTTATTCCATTCCTTGAGTCTAGGCCTTACATGGGAGAGAAACTCGCTCTGGAGGAAACTTTGGGATTTTATTCTTTGCATACCATTTACATACACCAAAACCTATCTAGCACGCTACAGGACAGAGCGAACCCAAACAGGCTTAATTGTGCCTCTTCAAGGGATATAAGTAATGATTAGCTATAGTAAGTGCTTAGTTTCAGAGCTGATGCAATTTCACAACATTAATCTGCTACTTAGTAATTATGTATCTATTATCTAATATGTCATTCCAATAACTTGTATATAGACTCGTATTGCACTATTCCGCTTTTTTTTCTCATTTTTTTTAGAACTGTTTTTCTTCTGTATTACTTTTAATATAATATACTTTAATATTGCTTTAATATTGTCTGCTTATCTGTATTATTGTGTCGCATTGTTGGAGAAGCCTGTGACCTAAGATTTTCACCCACATAATTACTCTGTAGCTATTTTAGTTTGACAATAAAGAACCGTGAACCTTGATGGAATGATTGATAGCCTACATTTCTTTTTATAAACACAATCAGAACAATTCCAATAACATTACCCCTTAACAACTGTATTGCAATTCTAAAAAACACAAATCAAAATCAAGGTGACTATATCTGCTGGAATGAGTCAGGAAATGTGAGCAGAGAAACTTATGCAGGACAAAGGGGTCAGATCCTGGAGACCAGACAGAGACCAGACAGATTTTTCCAGAGATTCCCCCCCCCCCCCC